GAAGTGTGGTCAGTTTTTACACTTGCAGAAATCTTCACGGATGTCTGGTTTTGAAGCCCCTGATACGTCTGCTCATTTTGTCTGAGAAAGAGCAGAAAGAAGGAGCTGTAGACTGGCACTCAGGTCTCTTCCCAACTCTCACTATGATGGCCAGAATGATTTCCTCTCCCTTGCCACATCCACTCAGCAGGTGGATGGCATGGAACTCCCCGAGGTGTGAGTGAATTAAGCAGCGCTTGCCAGCCCTCAGTCCTGCAGGGCTCCTCTACCCACCCACAGCTTGACGAGATTCCCGGACATCAAGGCTGCTTTGAGCTGCTGCTTTCCCCACTACTTGAGAAAGCATCATTTCAAGAGCTATTACTTCTTTTATCCAGCTTGAACTATGATCACGATAGAGGTCTTGAAAAATCAGAAGCAGGTTGTTAGGAGGGGTCTGCAGAGGCCAAGGATCGAGGGAGGTTCCTTAGAACTCAGAGTCCCTTTGGCCTCACAAGCTTAAAAATCTTTTTTTCCCTCTACTTTATGGCTCCAGTATCACTATTCCCCACTCCATGTCCAAGCCAGACATGTCAGACCGGTGCAGGGCCCAGGCCTGGTGCAAACCAGCAACAACAACAACAGAAGCATCATTAACACTGCTGGAGTGTGCTGGCAAACCCCAATCCCTGTCTCCAAGGTACTGTGTTGATCAGACACTTAGGGAATTGGAATCAAATTGGTCAATTGAGGATGCTGTTACAGAGTCTGTTCTATGTGATCAACTAGCGTATCCATCCTTAACCTCGGGAATGCTTGTGCGTGCTAGTTGGGCTCGTGGGGAACTCTGGTGGTGTGGTCCATAGGGAATGGCACTGCTAATGCATAGGAGGCCCTCCTGACAGTTCGAATCTACTAGGAGCTCAAAGGGAGAAAGATGAGCAACCTCCTCCCATGAGACTTACAACGTGGTTGGCTCTGATTTGATGGCAGTGAAGAATTGAGCTCCTGAGATGCTGGGTGGGCTGTGTATCACCATTATTTCCCACCTCTGAGGCACTCTTTGTGTCTTTGCAGATAAAGAGCTTCCCCATGGCTATGCTGTGACATAGTGAGGATTACATTGGGAGAGGGCTACAGTTCTGTGTGATTGCACAGCTGCTGGCAGGTCAGTGAGAAGCAACACCCCACCAACCTACCTCCCAACACACCAGCTCAGCTAGCACTCAGGAAACGTTCAGGAGTGTTAGGGTCGATGCACTTGTTGTCACACAGAAAAGAGCTTGTAATAGTATGAACAATTGACCAGTTTGAGTCTGAGAAACTTAACTATTCAGCAAGTCCCTATGTGTCTGATCTCTGCAGCATGTGGTAGAAATACCTCAGAGATACGCCGATGGCCTCCATAACCTGCTAGTCCTGTAGCTTTCCTGCCTGCCTGTGGCCTGCTGTCCCTCAGAACCCTGCTCACCTCACTGCCACACAGCACGTACGGACAGCACATGACCCCTGTGCCTCCATAACCTGCTAGCCCAGCAGCTTTCCTGCCTGCGCGGCCTGCTGCCCCCTTGGAACCGTGCTCACCTCACAGCCTCACAGCACTTATGAACAGCATATCACCCCCGTGCTGTGTGTGCACCCAGCCTTCGGACAAGCTACCCACAGCTTTGTCAGAAAAACAGGCAGGCCTGCACGGAGCAATGTACTGTATGCTAGTTGAGTCCTTGCAGCAGTTGTTCCAACTCATCAGTCATTCCCACTCATCATGGCCCCTGTAACAGAGCAGAACTGCCCCAGAGGTTCCTAGGCTGTAATCTTTATGGGAGTAGATCCAGGAACAACTCCTCTGGAGCCATTGGGTGAGTTTGAATTGCCAACCTTCTGGCTATCAATTGAGTAACTCACTATTGTGCCACCAGGGCTTTTTGTGAGAATTGTAAGCACACATTTGCTAGTCAGCCTCAGAGGTCTGTTCCTGTGCTGGGTACTTAGAGGGTCTGACAGGATAGTCCCTGCTCATAAGCTGACTGTGGAATCTCATCCAGAACTGAGGAGTAATTGGAAACATATGATCACACCACGACTCCAGGGTCCAGACAGGGGCCGGCCCTGGGACTGGCATGCTCCCTCCCAAAACCACATGCCATCTCTCCCATAGATTGGCATACGCTGCATCCCTACCCCAGCACACACCTGCCCACTCTCTCTGGACTGGCACACACACTAGTGTACCCCACACCCCTGCTGGCTCCCCCACCCCTACATTCTCCCCCCCACTCCTGCACATTTTGATGTCCATTCCGTAAATCATCTTTTACTATAATCTCCAAGTCATTCTGTAAACTAAAGCATGTACACTTTGAGCTTCCCCTCCATAATGAACTTACACTCAGCAGTTAATTTAATCATTCTGTTGTGTGCCATCGAATCGTCTTTGAACTTGTTTGGTGACCTCATGTGGTAGGGTGGGACTGGCCAGGTAGGCTGTAATTTTTATGGAGAGCTCTGGTAGAGGGTTGTGCTGCTAAACATCTTTGTGCTGTACATCTCCAGTGGCTCAAATCCACCAGCTACTGTGGGGGAGAAAATGGGCAGTCTTCTCCTACTATGATTTACAGTTGGAAGACCCAGCATGGGTCTCCTTGACTCTGAACTGACTAGGTGGAGGTGAGTTTGAGTTTGAATCTTTACAGGAGCAAATAGATTGCCAGGCTGATTCCTATGGATCTGCTGGGCTGTTTGGCTAGCAGGTGAGTGCTTTCATGTCTGCACCACTAGGGCTCATTTCTTGCTCGGGATGAGTTATTGTTGCAGCACACACGTGTAAGCTCTTGTCTTTGTGGCTCATAGAAGCCTCTTTAAGACTGTTGGCCAGATTTGCAGCATTGTCTTGGCTGAGCAGTGAACAAAGAAATCTTAAGTTTTCCTCTGCTGTCAATTCCTTTCTGTGATGTTAAGTTGAGGTTGAAGGACTTGGATCAATAATCACCGCTTTAAAAAAAAAAAAAAAAAGAAACCCACAGCATTTGGGAATTATATTTCTTATTCTTTTGTGTTTTTTTGTTTGGTTTTTTTTTTAAAGGGGAAGGTACATTTCTTTTAAATACTCTATTTTGTTGTTGTTGTGTGGCATTGAGTCAACTCCGACTCAGAGCAAACCTACATACAGCAGCTCTGAACTCTGCCCTGTCCTAAGCTAACCTCACTGTCTCTGACACACCTACTACCCTCATTACCATAGTCACTGAATCAATCCATCTCATCAAGGGTCTTCCTCTCTTGTGCTGTCCCTCTACTCTTCCAAACATCACATCCCTCTCCAAGGACTGGTCCCTCCTTGCAACATGTCTAAAGTAAGTCAAATGGAGCTTCAGAATCCTTGCCCCCAAGGAGAAACCTGGTTTCACCCTCTCCGGGACAAACCTGTTTGTTCTCTTAGCAATCCTTGGTATGTTCAATATTCTTCTCCAGCATCACAACTTAAAGACATTGCTTATTCTTTTGCCATCCTTGTCATTGTCCACCTTTCTGATGCGTAACACGTAATTGCAAAGACCATGGCCTGGATCAGGCGCACCTCAGTTTCTAGACTGACATCATTTGCTCTTCAGTACTCTGGAGAAGTCCCTGTCAACAGATTTTCGCAATGCAATTTGTCTTTGGATTTCCTAGCTGCTGGTCCGAATGCCTTAGGTCCTCCTCAGTTTTGGCAGGCAAGGTTGTGTCTTTTGTATAATATAGATTGTTAATGAGTTTTCCTCCAATTGCCAACATTCATCCTCATAGAGCCCAGCCTCCTGGATGATCTGTTCTACGTATAGATTGAAAAGGTATGGAGACGGAAAAAAGAAAGAAAATAGGATAGGATCCATTCCACCTTTCCTAATTTTGAACCAGTGTTTCCTTGCTTTGTTTTGATGACTGCCTCCTGGTCCAAGTATAGGTTTCACAAAAGCACAATAAGTGTTCTGGGATTCCCATTCTTCTCGGAGTCAGTCACAGTTTGTTGTGATCCACACAGTCAAATAAATGCCTTTGCATAGTCAATGAAACACTGATGGACATTCCTCTGGAACTCTCTGCTTTGAGCCAAGATCCATCTAACATTAGCTATAATATCCCTAGTACCATGGCCTCTAAACCCAGCCTGCACTTCAGGTAGTTCCCTGTTGATGTACTGTCCCAGTCATTTTTGGATAATTTTCAGAAGAATCTGGCTTGCGTGTGATATTCATGATACTGTTCAATCTTGTCACTCATAACATTATTCTTCAAGATGGATCTAGAAATGGTCTTTTTAACTGTGAATGCAACCTCATTTTTCTCACCTTTTCAATTCCAGTATAATTGATCATATAATTGATTCAAAATGTCCCATGTCAATCCATTTTAGTTCACCTAGTATGTCAGTATGTATGCGCTCCATAACTTCCTTAACAATCTCCAATTTTCGTACGTTTATATTTCTCACATTCCACATTCCAATCATTAGGGTCTGTTTGCAATTGTTCTTCCCCATTTGTGATTACCAATATGAAAGCTCAACCTCCAGTGCCATATCTGCTAGTCTAAGTATGCTGTATTGTACATCCTCTATAGAAAGAGGCAAATGAAAATAACTGGTGAATGAGAATATATGCCCAGACACATGTATTAAATAGTACTCAGGTTTCTGAGCAGGAGCCCTGCTGGTATTGTAGTTAGGCATTTGAACCATGGTGGGCAGTTTGAAATCACCAGTTGCTCCTTGAGAGAAAGATGGGGCACAGGAGTCTACTTCTGTAAAATTAAAGCCTAGGAGACACTCTGGATGGTTCTTCTTTACCCTAGAGCTTCTCTGTGAGTCAGCATCAACTCAACAACTCTGAAGGTTGAGAATGCATTATTTCTGATCATGGCCCATTAATTTGGGGACCTGCTTCAGTAAGTCCATTATTTAAAATTGAATGTTCTGTTTTGCAGCTGTCATTGAGATGATAGAAGAAAGCAAGCCCTCCCGGAGTCACTTTTCATTTTCCTTGCCTCAGACCAGTGAGTACCAGCCAGCCAAGATGTTTTCCCCAACCCAGTCTGGAACGCTGCATACAAGAAACACAGACCAGTCCAGGATGACCTCTGCTGGACCACAGTTCCGCCTGCCACTTGCATTCAATCACACAGTTGGACATATTGTACTTTCAGAACATAAAGATGTCAAGTTTAATTGCTCAATTAATGTACCCAATATATACCAGCATACTGAAGTGATTTCTTTGTGGAAAGATGGGAAGGAATTGGTCAGTGCACATCATGCAATTACTCAGTTTTATCCAGATGGTGAAGTTACAGCAATCATTTCTTCTTTCAGGTAAGTCTTTGTTTATTTTCAGTGTTGTTTTAACAAAAGCCTATAGAGAGAGAGAAGGGGGACTATGGTAGTGGAGTCCGAGGGAGTTGCATTGCTATTCAGATGCTGTACCTCTCTGGTGATTTGAAAGAAGAGCAGCCTCCTCTCTTGTGATTTGGAAACCCACTGGAAGGTCAGCCAGGAGTTGGTTCCAACTTGACAGCATTGAATGAGTGAGTGAAGAGAGAGAAACCAGCATTTGTTTTCTGTGTAAGCACCCTCCTAGCCTTTGTTGAGTAATAGCTGGCAGTCTATATTGTCCTCTCAGGAATTTATATTGGTCTCACCGGAGCTGGTTAGCAGATTCTCTGTGGATATGTCCCACCTGCCTGGCCTGTAAAGCTGACATAGGAATTTTCCCAGTGAGTGGAAATGGTGTTTTTTAAAGGGTGCTTGTTATATTAGAGTCACCCAGAGCACCTGGGGTGTCTAAAACAATGCAGCTGTCCTATGCCTTTCATATGGCCAAGCCCCTTCACATCCATTTCTCCTGTTTTGAGTCTCAGTACTGACTTAATCCTGATGCACACTGGGTAGGAAAAGATGAAGCATCTTAGGGCTTGGGGAAGAGATGAGCCCTCAGCCATTTGGTGCAACATCTCGGTTGTTGGTAGGCATCATGAGGGGATTTTTAAGCCATGTTACGGAGTAGAACTGCCCCAGAGGGTTTTCTAGGCTATAATCCTTATAAGAGCAGTTGGCCAAATCTTTCGTCTTTAGTGCCAGTAGGTGGATTTGACTCACTGACGTTTTCATGGGAAGTTGAAGACTTGATTATTATACTACCAGGGCGCCTTCACTGTCCAGTATTCCACTTTATTTTGTTAGTGGCAAGTGAGATGAATTAAGGGGTGGAGACAGGGATAAATTAGACAGAGCATGTTTCTGGAATACTCCATTCTCCCAAAGAGGGGGTTTTCTGCCAAGGAAATGTAGAATGATTCACCAAATGCATAACGAAGAATTGGTTAAGACAGCCCTTTGCTGGGCCCTGGAGCAGTGGTTGGCCAACACTTTTCCTTGGTGTCCCCAAAACCATGTCCATTGCCATTAAGTCATTTCCAACACCAATAGGTAGAAATGCCCTACAGCGTTTCTAAGGCTCTGAGTCATTATGGAAATAGACTGATTCCTCTTTCTGCCATTGCCTTTTGGTTAAACAGCTAGTCACTTTAACTACTGTACCCCTAAGGCTCTATTGTCTCCAAGGAGGGCATACTTTTGGAGATGTAATTAGCTCTAGAAATTTCTGGGCAGTGAAAACGGTTAACAAGTTAAGTCCAGGCAGGAGCACCTTTAAAAAAAGGCCCCGTGATCTATTTCTTTTTT